CTGTTCTTCTGAACTTTCTATTCATCAAAGAAACCTGAAAAAATTATACTCTGCTGTTTTCAACGTAATAATAATACATGTTTTTTGCAGCAAATCAGAATATTAGAATGATTTCTGACGGATCATGTGACACTGAAGACTGGAGTAATGATGCTGAAAATACAGCTTTGAAATCACAGGAATAAATTACATTTTAAAATATATTCAAAAAGAAAGCAGTTATTTTAAATGGTAAAAATATTTAAAATTTTTACTGTTTTGGATCAAATAAATGCAGGCTTGGTGAGCAGAAGAGACTTCTTTAAAAACTAGTGCTGTCAAACGATTAATCGCGATTAATCCAAAATAAAAGTTTTTGTTTACATACTATATGTATGTGTACTGTGTTTATTTATTATGTAAATACAAACACAAAGTATATATTTTGAAAATATTAACATGTATATACATTTATATAATATATAAATACATTTAATATATAAACAGCATATATTTCTTAAAACGATTAATCGTTTCACAGCACTATTAAAAACATTAAAAATCTTACTGTTCAAAAACTTTTGACTGGTAGTGTATGTATTTGGTCAATGACTTTATTAAAGTTACTTAAAGTGCATTCAAACTACATAGTTCATGTATTTTTCCCTGGGAATCAAACCCATGGCTCCATTAGCTAAGCATTCGCATCTGTACTCATGTAAAGCATGTTTCTGGCCTGTTGCGCCTCAGACTCTCCTGGGATAGATGTTTTTGAGTCAGATAAATGACTTACGGAGCGTGTGGGTGCCGATCTCCTCTCCGTTGACCGCGGTTTCTCCGTTCTTGGTGGCGTGGAACTGAGCCGCGCTTGAGTTGCTGGAGCTGTTGGCTTGCTGCTGCTGCTGCAGAGCGAGTTGGTCTCTGAAGGCCTGCTGTCTGGTGTGAACCACGTCTGGCATCACAGCATCGACGAGCGACAGCGACTCTATCGGCCGGCCGTCAAACACTGTGCCATCCTGAAACGTTCAGAGACAATATCACCATCAAACACAAGCCAAAGTGACACAAAGCAAAATCTAGAGCAAAAACATCCTGTGCGAAGGGTTTGGATTTCTTCACGGTTCAATAATGAATTTACGACATTTGCATTCGTTTGTGGTCATTTTAAAACGAAATAAAACATACAAATGCCATTTTTGCTCAAAACATTTTAGTAAAATTGCTCAAAATATAGAGTTCGGCATTACTAGAAAAATGTATTTTCATTATAAAAATTTCCATGACTTTAAAATGTTATTAATGATAATATTAACTGTATTAAGGTTATTATAATAAACTAAAACCATAAAAAAAATAAAAATGTTACTTGAAATAAATAATGGTTAACTAAACTAAAATATATATATACAAAATGTAAAATAACTTATTTTATTTCAGCTAGCTGCCAAGGAAACATTTCTAATTTTCATTTAGTTTAACTTGATGTACTAAAACAATGAAAACCGAAAATATCAAATGTTTTTTTTAAATTTTAAAATAATAGAATTATTATTATTAATAATAATAATAATACAATAATTCATAATTAATTTAATCTAATTTTTTTTTACAATTAATAAATACATAAGTATTAAAAAAAAATTAATAAAATGAACAAACAGAAAATAAAATAATTCAAAATGTTAATACAACTATTATAGCATCGCAATGATACTATTAAAAACGACAAACAAAAAAACAAACAAAAACACGCTTGTTTATACACACTTATGTACACTTTATAATGCTGCCATAACGGCAAATTTTTTTTTTTTTCTTCATGGTCAGAGAAAGTAAATATCTGAAAAAAATAAATGCGAGCCAACAATAAAATCGCTATTGTTTATTTTTGAATATATTTAATATAGTGCCGTCAAACGATTAATCGCATCCAAAATAAACTATTTTGTTTACATAATAAATATACACAGTACGCATACATTTATTATGTACACACACATACAGTATATATTTTGAAAATATTTACATGCATATATTTATATAATTTATTATATAAATATATTTAATACATAAACATAAAATTTTTCTTAAATATACATGTATGTGTATTTATGCGCATAATAAATATACACAGCACACAAATATATTATGTAAACAAAAACTTTTATTTTGGATGCGATTAATCGCGATAAATTGTTTGACGGCACTAATTTAATTTTTGATTTTTTTTTTATGACTCACAGCATGTGAACGTTACTTATGCACAGATGCAGATCAATCAAAGAGTTGAAGGACTTGACTAGAATCATTGGGATGGTTGATGATGATGAAGATGATGAAGATGTTCACCTCGTTGATGCTGATCTCGGCCTCCACGTACTGAAGGCCTTTCTGCAGGATGGAGATGAGGGCCGCGGGAGGCACCAGAGTCCCGTTGATGTTCGACTGACTGATGTGGCTCTCGATGCCAAACGTGAACGCCGAGTGAGAGAAACCTGCAGCACAAGGGCTTTCCATCAACGAACAGTCGCTTTATTTCAACCCGTGAGTAAATGTGTGACTAAGGATCTGAGCTCATCTCAAAGCCTGGGGTGGTGTTGCGGGGGTGTTTACCTGACTCCTGCAGATATCTGTAGACCAGAAAGTTGACTTCATCACTGGTAATGCTCATCTTAGCTCCACCTCAGAGGATGAGCGACGCTGGAGCTCACTATCAGCCCCTGCGGGAAACACAACATTCAGACTTTTAATATCTGACTTATGAAACGGTCCGTTCTGGAAATCACATGCTAAGACTTATTAGGAGACTGTAGGTCTTGTACCATGGCATTAAAGGGGAGAATGACAACAGCATTAAAATTAACATGTTCGTTACTTGGAAAAAAATAAATATGTTAAATGAATTTTTAAAAAAAAGCTAAAAATTACACTTATTTTATTTCAGCCAGCTGCCAAGGCAACGTTTCTCATTTTCATTTAGTTTAGTCTTGAAGTAGGCCTGAGTAGGGAGCAAAAACTACATTATAAAAATAAAAATAATTTTTATAAATTTGTAATAAAAATAAAAATAACTGATGCTAAATAATACTAAAAATAACAAACTAAAAAAAAAAAAATTAAAACCTGAACTAAAATGAAACTGGAAAATCTAAAATTATATATATATATAT